ACATGAGACAAAGTATATGTGAACTGCTGTATGAAAAGTGAATTTACTCTGTAAATCTTCACCCAAATCAAAATAAAATTAAAAAAAAAAACAAATCTACTAGAGCTCAAGAAGCAATCATGCTTTGCTAGGTCATATTCAAATGCTATTTCCAATTTGCACCTGTCTTCAAATAAGATCCAAGGCCTTTGACTGTTAAAGGTTCACAAGGTTAAAAAAATAATGTCAGTCACTATTTAAATTGTTTCTCTATGTGGTCATCCAGACAGTTGGAGTAAACAAGTACTATCTCTGTAACATATCAGCAATGGGATATCTCAAGAGGTAAGCTGCCAAGAAGCTAGGTGACATTCTAGAAGGCAGAAGTGCCAGGGCCTTCACCTGCCAAGAGCCCCAGTTATATTTCAGAATCTGACCACCTCTCCATAAAGTTACCAAGGAGTTGCAATAAACATTACTATTTAGAATCCTCTGCTTAGCTGATGAGCTTCTACCCCAAGAGATTTCTATTATTAAGGGAGATATTTTGCTTCCTCTACTATCCCTGGGCCAACAACTGTGGCTACCCATTGAGAGGGGACAAACAACAGGTAGAACCAACAGGAAAACACAATCAAGACTCACAAGCTTTGGACCTAAATAAAGGACTGTCTGTAATCTGAAGGTTAAATTATAGGAGACAGCTATATGCACACACATGTTGTTGTTGTTGTTATGTGCCGTCGAGTCGTATCTATTTATTTATAGAGAAGAAAAGAGAGAGCAGGCAAGGAGAGAGAAGTGAAGAGTTCTGGAATGGCCTGACTCCTGGAAGCATGACCTAGTGTTCTATTTCAATGGCTGACGGCCACTTAGTGAGCAGGAAAGATATCTGCTAAGGATGGAAGAAATGTTGTTCCCTCAAATCCCTTAAAAGTCCACAAATGTCCTCTGTCCTTAGCTAGCCCATTGGCAATAGGACTACTTCAAGGATGAAGGAGTGTGGCCCACAAAATATTTAGTGAAAGCTGGAAATGAGTGAGAACAGAGAGTAGAGAAATTTAAAGACTGGGCCACCGGGATTTGTGCAGACTAGAGGGAGATAGGCTTGCATGGCAGGGAAAATCTATCATTACCAGACGTCAGAATGAGTGGTGAAGACTCCATCCTTGAGTGACTCGGGAGACATCCAGCGCACAGGCAGAAGCCCCTTCCCTCCTTTCCGGTAATAGTCTGTCTCATAGATATCTCTCGTCATACCAAAATCTGTAAGGTGGAGAGAAGGCACGAGAGTTATGCTATTTGGGCAGCTCTCAGGGAGAAGCAAAGATGCATCATTTCTGCCACAGAAAACCGCCCCATACTGTGGTCAAGGGTGAGATACAGACAGCTCCACTCTCAGGAGCCTGAGATTAATGCTTGTAGTGTTTCTAAGGCCAGGGATGATTAGTCACATGGCAAGCAAACACCAAGAAATCAATTTCTAATTTGACTCCTTTAAAGAGTTAATTTCTTTGTGCATTTGCAATGATTGAGTCCCCCCACTTATCAGAAACGTAAGTGTTGAGTAGACCAAGAGTTATTTAGTCTTGATTTTAAAATCTGATGAAATTAACAGGAAAGTGTAGGCTCTTATTCACTTGGTAGCACTGCCCCATTTCCAGGGCAAAAAAATTAGTTCCACTGGTTAACCCAAAAGTAAACTCACTGCCATTGAGTCGATTCTGACTCATAGCAACCCCCACTGGGTTTCCAACGTTGTACATCTTTACGGAAGCAGACTGCCTCATCTTTCTTCTGCAGAGTAGCTGATGGGTTCAAAGCATCAATCTTTCGGTTAGCAGCCAAATGCCTTCATCAGTATACCCTCAGAGCTCCTTTCCACTGTTGTTGTTGTTGTTGTTATTATGTGCCATCGAGTCGGTCCCGACTCATAGCGACCCCTCCTTGGGTTTCCGAGGAAGGAGCTCTGGTAGCATAGTCAAGGCACTTGACTGCTAACCAGAAGGCTGGTGGTTCAAACCCACCAGCCACTCCTCGGAAGGAAGGTTGGGCATTCCTATTTCTGTAGTGATACTGCCTCGGAAACCCAAGGAGGGGTCGCTATGAGTCGGGGCCGACTCGATGGCAAATAACAACAACAACAACAATCACTACGGAAGTAGGATTGCCCAACCTTCCTTCCGAAGAGTGGCTGGTGGGTTTGAACCGCCAGCCTTCTGGTTAGCAGTCAAGTGCTTAGCCACTATGCTACCAGAGAAGGGGGAAAGCATTAAGATGCTTAAGAGATGATATTTACTAGATCCCTGAAGCTAATATTCAATAATGTTTTTCAGCATAATATTTCCAACCTTTTCTGAAAATTTCTTCCATCTTTGATGTGTCTAGAAGATATCACATACATCAAACATAAGTGTTTGATGGCAGGTTTTATAATCCTATATTATCACTTTTTTTTTGTGCCAGATTTTGATTGTCTACTCAATTATACAACTGCTTCTTACATGGACTCTCCTATTTTCCTTGCCAGGAGAGAGTACTACTCTACTTTTTAAAATGTTCATTCTTGACTCTTAACTGTGCCATGAAGAGGCAAAGGAACAAAAGCAAACACAGAAAACAAAGTTCCTTGGATGTTAACTAACATAATTTGCTTATACTATGCTAAGGACAGGAGCTCTGGTAGCATAGTGCCTAAGGCACCTGACTGCTAACCAGAAGGCTGACAATTCAAACCCACCAGCCACTCCTCAGAAGGAAGGTTGGGCAATCTACTTCCATAGTAATACTGCCTCGGCAACCCAAGGAGGGGTCGCTATGAGTCGGGTCCGACTTGATGGCACATAACAACACACACAACATGCTAAGGACAGGAGCTCTGGTGACACAGTACTAAGGCATTTGGCTGCTAACCAAAGGTCGGTGGTTCAAACACACCAACTGCTCCACCAGAGAAAGATGAGATAGGCTCCTTCCATAAAGATTTATAGCTCTGGAAACCCTCTGGGGCAGTTCTACTCTGTCTGATAGGGTTGCTATGAGTCAAACACATAACAATAACAACAACAACAACAACAACAACAAAATGAGTCAGAATTGACTTGATGGCAGTGGGTTTTATTTTATTTTGGTTTATGCCAAAGATACCAAACTGCCTTTAGGAAAATGACTTGTCTTTTTTGTAATTCCTGAAACATTGGGCACTGGAAAAAATAGTTTTGAATGCTAGTGAAGAATATATAAAAGTGAACTGCTAACATTTTATCTCAGAATAAACCCAGTGACATGCCAATGAGAGGATTAGGCTTTACTTACACAGAAAGGGAAAAAAGAAATCCTGGAGAAAAACCACAGTTTGTTCCTAAACACATTTGAAAAATCAAATTCTAGAAATAAAAACACAATTACAAATAAAATGTCACACACAGAGCGCAAATACAGTTCTTGCTGATTTGGACTTAGCATGGCAAGTGCCACAGACACATCTCACCCTACGATGTATGGACCGAGCTCCCCAGGAAGAGGGTGGGGAGATGGCGGTGGTGGAGAATAAAAACTAGCATTTACTGAGAACACACCACCTCCCAGTAGTGCTTGGTGTTTTCCTGCACCAGGTTCTTCCAACCATCTCACTCAACTGGTTATATTAGCATTTGCATTTCAGAATAAAGAAATTAAGGCTCACAGAATTTAAGGTCCTTGCCCACAGTCTCTCAAATGTAAGTGGCAAAACAGGGATTAAAGTTCAGGCTCACCTGATTTCCCAGCCTCTACTCTTTCCTCTGCACTAGGGAAGGTGAGATGATTGGCATCTGAGACAATTTGTGGAAACAATCTGAATCCCCAGGGAGAAGTGAGGGGAGTAGGGAGGGCAGGGGGTAGCCAGAACAACTCTTCCCTGGGGACCCTGGGGCCAGCCTCTCCTGTCTCCTTCCACTTCCCTGGGGCTCTTCCTTTTGCCAAGGGGGTTGGCAAGGGACACCCTGTGTGTAGAACCTAGGGAACCAAACCTAGGTATAACAGTGTGGACCCTGAATGAGTAACAACTGACAACTGAATGATTTTGCTTCCTCTGAATACTTTAAGCTTCTACAAATGAAAAGGACATTCACCCCTACTCTGGAAGTCATTCTTGAAAGAATATTCATTATTCACTAAAGGGCTAAAACATTTCATTCAAAATTATTACTGAAGGAAAAAAAAGAAAAACACAATATTGTTAAAGGAAGGTCAACAATTCCAGAAGAAATAGTTCAAGAGCTAGACAAAAAGATTAATTTTAAATAGATTTCTTAGCATGTAAAGTTTTCCTTGCAGTTTCTCAGGAAGAAATTTTGGTATTTTTCTAGAAACACCAGAACAGTGGGAAGATGAGGATCCTGGCAGCAGGTGGTTTCCCTAGCAGCTCTGATACTATATATGATTTTATTAGGCAAACCAAAAAACCAAAATCAAAACATCCCTAAAAGTAGAATCAAATATCTAACTGATGATCAGAAATTCAATCCAACCCCCTTTTTTGAGAGCTTTGAGGTTGACCAGCTATGGGTGTGAAACCCAGTGACTCTGTCCCTGTCATTATCCTGCTCTGTACAGGGATTTCACTGCTAGGGTCCTTCTACCTCTTAGAAAACTCAGGGACTTTTGGGTGGGGACAGTGCTCCCTACAAGCTAGGAATGCTGACAGATAGGGTGACAGTTGGATGATGTCTTTTACTCTTAAATCACCTAACGGTATTGTCTTGATTATGTCTGCCTATAATCAAGCTGATAAATGTTCTACTAAGACATGCCTCAGAAGCCAGGAATGGAGCCCTTAGGATCCACAGCCCAGGCTCATCCTTGCTCACAACCAGGAACATCATGCCAACATGCAGTCAGGATTTGAGGCAACCCAGCCAGATGTGTGAATGACTGTCAGCTGGTAACAATCTTATGGTTTCCAAGAGCAAAGCTTTGTACTCAAGGAATGCACCAAAAGCCCTCTCCAGGCCAGGGTTAATGTCAACATGTTTCCTCATATATGTGCAGTGTGGGCTGTTGCTCAGAGCTGGAAAGCTGAGGACACACCTCCAATTTTGACTGTGAAATCTTCAGCCACCATGCAGTTCCGGGCAGCAAGGTCTCTATGGACAAACTTGTTGGCATTGAGGTATGCCATGCCGTCTGCAATCTCGCCTGCCATCTGGATCATCTTGCTTAGGCTTGGAGGTGCTAGGACTGGATTATTCTGTTGAAAAAAAAAAAAAAAAAAAAATTTTATTTTTACATGATAATTTATGAATTTTTCCACTTCAAGTTCTTTCAGGATCTATAAACCCATCTTTGTGCAATCTGAGCACCATTGGTCATTCAGCTAAGAAATCAGAATTTTCTCAGAAGGAATGTATTATTATGGAGACCATGGCATCTGCTTAGTGGTAAAGTCATGTGCTTGCTCCTGGCCACATCACGCAGACCTGCAGAGAAAAATACCAATTAGGACTCCTTGGGACCAGTATTTTCTATTTTGGTTGGGACAAAAATGATTTAAAGAGAAGCAAGCAGTTTTTGATAGTAAGGTTTCTTAGTTACGAAAATCCTTGTTAGTATATATGTACCTGCTCCTTGCCATAACCAAAGTACAGGTGAAAGGAGAGAGAGCACATTACAAATGGTTTAAAATTCATGCTGTGTGGAAATAAGCAAATGTGTTTCCCATATGTGTTTTATCTAGACTCTGAGTGTTTTATTTCTCATTTAAGCACTGTGATAAATTATTTAATCTTTTTCATTCCTTTCAACTTTCTTGTAAAGTACAAAAATATAAAGATTAAATTTTTTTCACCTTGCAATGGGACATTCCTTGGATTACTATTTCCAGGGACACTAAGGAAATAAGCACTTGACAATTAATTTTAAGGGCAGCTGAATCTTATCTCTGAAGGAGACCAATGTGAAACAATGAAGAGTAATATGAATAAGCACATCCTCTTTGCAGAGGCAGGCAATATACTTGCTTTAGATTTGTAAAGAATTACTCCCAAAAAATAAGATAAATCCTTCTGGAAAAAAGTTTTAATAACATTTACCAAAGTCTCTCCACCCTTAAAAAAAAAAGTACAAAAACCTATCACTACCACAGCTCTGGTGGCGTAGTGCCTAAGGCATTTGACTGCTAACCAGAAGGCTGGCGGTTCACACCCACCAGCCATTCATTGGAAGGAAGACTGGGCAATCTACTTCTGTAGTGATACCACCTCAGAAACCCAAGGAGGGGTTGCTATGAGTCGGGTCTGATTTGACATCAGTGAGAGAGAGAGAGAGAGAGAGAGAGAGAGAGAGACCAACCACAGTTTAGATGCTGACTACTTCTTGCTTGAATTCTTATAGTAGATTTTACCTGGTTTCTGTGGTTACAAGGCATCTCATGCAATACTTGCTGACAGCCTGATGTGTCCCCTTCCTGCTCAAACACTGTGGACCCCAGAAGAAAATGCTTGGGCACTGGGACAAAACACCCGGGATCTGCTGTGGGCTCTTCCATGCAGGGATGACAATGGTGCCATTGCTGGGAGATGGTCCGCAACCACTTTACAGAGAGTACCCAATGGTGCCTGGACCAAGTCCACGTTCATGGGACATAGCCCAGGCAGGTGCTAGCTTCCACTGAAAGCTACCTTCCAGAAGCAGTATAGTAGTTCTTCAACTACTATCATGTCAGTTCTCAGAACTTGAGACACATTTTAATTCTGAAGAACACTATCAAGATTCTGGAAATTTAAAATATTTATCACTGAGTTGAGTCCCTGGATGGCTCAAATGGTTAAAGCACTTGGCAGCTAATCTAAAGGTTGGAGGTTTGAGTCCACCCAGAGGTGCCTTGGAAGGAAAACCTGGCACAGTTCAATTCTGACATATGGGGGATTGCCATGAGTTGAAATCAACTCCATGGTGACTGTTTCTTTTGGTTTGGTGTCACTGAGTTATCTGGGGAAGCTATATCATGTCACTGAGGGTAAATTCAAGTCACTGCTTCCTTTTATGTAGGAGCCTTGCTTAGATATGAGTTTTTTTTTCCCCCTCAGGACCTAACATTTCCTTTTAACCTTTTCAGGGCTTTAAGTATGCAGAGAACACTAGGAGATTTGCAGGTGAAATGTTAAGCATACACTCATAATACTTAAATACTAGAGTTTTAAGTATAGATGTTTACTATGAAATTGTCCTTCATAATTAATATAAACAGCAGAATCAACAAAAGGAACTTATTTTAAGCATTGGGAGAGAGGGCTGATATTCTTGATTCTTGCTGTGATACCACCATTCTTTCAGATGTCTTACCAAAAAAAAAAAAAAACAAAACAAAAAAAAAAACAAACTCACTGTCGTCAAGTCAGGTCCGACTCATAGTGACCCGTCCTTGGCTTTCTGAGGCAGTATCATTATGGAAGTAGATTGCCCAACCTTCCTTCCCAGGAGTGGCTCGTGGGTTTGAACCACCAGCCTTCTGGTCAGCAGTCAAATGCCTTAGGCACTACGCCACCAGAGCTCCCTCACACATCTTAGAGAGCAGAAATCTTTAATTTGATTAGAGCTACTTAAGACATGCACACACTTAGTGAAAAAAAATGATGTCATAACTTAGGGTGGGCCACGTAGAAAATCATGGAACTGCAGGACAAGCACACACAATTTTGTGCTTGGCATGAGATAGAAAATGTTCCCAGATGATCAATCTAAAAGTGAATTTAATATCTGAAAGGGCCTTCTCCACTCATCTTGTCCAAACCTCTTATTTTACTCATAAGGAAAACTGAGGCCCAGAACCTGACCTGGCTGCCAAAAAGACTAAAGTAGCTAGCTAGTAGCAGAGCCAGGATGAAGACCAAGTTTTCTGGATTTTTATTCTGTGCCTAAAGTTGGAGAAGGAGGGAGTGTCTTGAATGATGCTAGTAAGATATAACCATCTGTCTCTAACATCTCTTGATCTAGCTTTTGTCTTCCATGCTGGCTTGTGAATTAGAAAGTGAGCCAGGAAAGGGCACTAACACTCCCAGGAGCCAGAACTACAGACCCACTCACTGCAAGTGGAATCGAGCAGAGATGAGGTTGTGAACCACCCTGCTCAGAACCTCAGTCCACACTATCCATTGTAGCCTACATAGAACCACAAACATCATCTGACAATAAAAGAAGCCCTTGGGAGGTGATTAAACTATAGATTTAAAGAGGAAAACAGAACAAATGTTAATAAAACAGAAAAAGGCTAAGAAATTTAAAAGGGGCAGAGAAAGGGAAATTACAGCTTCTTGGGAATGCAAGCGGACAATGCTTATCTGAGAAGTAGCAAAGTCAGTGTCAAAGTAAGGACTTGAGACTCATTGAAGCAGACAAATGAAAAGAGAGAGGATTGTTGCTGGTACTATTTCTAAACATTCATCTACCAGTATGCTCTCAGAATTAATTAATTAGAAGTCATGCCTCTCTGTGTTAAAAAATTGGCTTGTAGGTTCATGCTGCAGAAGTGGAGACACCACAGTAGCTGATGAAAAATTACACAGCATTTTAGCAGGTCTAGAATTTGAAACACATACCTCAAATTGCTATTTTTACTAGACTAAGCAGAGGTGAAGCCGCAGTCAAGAAATCAGACAATGCATTGGACTGGGAAAATCTGCTGAAAAAGACCTCTTTAAAATGTTGAAGAGCAAAGCTGGCAATTTGAAGAGCACAGCTGGCATTTTGAAGGCCAAGGTGCACCTAACCTTAGCCATAGTGTTTTCAATTGCTTCATATGCATGTGAAGCTGGACAATGAATAAGGAAGACTGAAAAAGAATTGATGCCTTTGTATTGTGGTGTTGGAGAATGCTGAAAATACCATGGACTGCTAGAAGAATGAACTAATCTATCCTGGAAGAAGTACAGCCAGAATGCTCCCTAAAAAGCAAGAATGGCCAGACTTCATGTCATCTACTTTGGTCATGTTGTCAGAAGTGACCATTCCCTGGATAAGGATATCATGCTTGGTAAAATTGAGGGTCAGAGAAAAAAGGAAAGACCCTCAACTAGATGGATTGAAATAGGGGATGCAACAGTGGGCTCATGAATAGTAAGGACTGTGAGGATGGTGCAGGCCAGGGTAGTGTTTCATTCTGTTGTACAAAGGGTTGCTATGGGTTGGAATCGACTCAATGGCACCCAACAACAATAAGAAGCAGAGGTGGTGCAGCTGAGATGATTATCACTTAAAAGTGCAAGCAAGTCACTGACTTAGGATCAAGCTTGAAATGTGGATGCAGAGTTTGCAAATTCAAGCTTCATGGCTGACTGTGCAAGGAAGGTACATGTGTATCTGTGTGTGTGTACACAGGGGGAGAGGAGATCTATTTGTAAATAAGTAGATGTCTTGTATGCTGGGCTGGATGGGGAATTACTCCTGAAACTTATCATAGGCAGCCAAGAATCAAGGTAAACCTAGCGTCTGACTTTCATTATTGTTAGGTATCATTGAGTAGGTTCTGATTCACAGCAACCCTGTATACAACAGAACTGTCCAGTCCTGCATTATCCTACCAATCATTGCTATGCTTGAGCCCAACAATGAGTGGCTTCTGTGTCAATACATCTCATTGAGGGTCTTCCCCTTTTTCACTGACTCTTCACTTTACCAGGCATGATATCCTTTCTCCAGGAACTGATCCCTTCTGACAACATGATCAAAGTATGAGAGGCAAAGTCTCACCACCCTTGATTCTAAGGAACATTTTGGTTGTACTTTAACCAAGACAGATTAGTTTGTTCTTTTGGCAGACCATGGTATATTCAATATTGTTTGTCAACACCACAATTCCAATGTATCAATTCCCCTTTGGTCTTCCTTATTCATTGTTCAGCTTTCACATGCATATGAGGCAACTGACGAGACCATAGCTTGGGTCAGGTGTACCTTAGTCTTCAAAGTGACATCTTTGTTCTTCAAAATTTGAAAGAGGTCTTTTGCAGTAGATTTTCCCAATGCAATATGTCATCTGAGTTCTTGACTGTTGCTTCCATGGGTGTTGATTGTGGGTCCAAGTTAATTGATATCCCTGACAAATTCAATCTTTTCTCCATTTATTGTGTGTTTATTGATCCAGGTGTGAGGATTTTTTTTTTCTTTATGTTGATGTATAATCCATACTAAAGGCTATAGTCTCTAATCTTCATCAGTAGGTGCTTCAAGTCCTCTTCGCTTTAAGATTACAACTTTGGAAATTCTATGGGTCAGTTCTACTCTGTTCTATAGGGTTGCTATTAGTTATAACATCTGTCTTTATTTATTGAAAGAATGCCTGCTATGAACACATCCCTAAATGGGGCAATCTACTTCCATAGTAATACTGCCTCAGAAACCCAAGGAGGGGTCGCTATGAGTTGGGGCTGACTCGACGGCACATAACAACAACAACAACATATGGGAGAGAAAGTTGAAAAAAATGGGGTAAAGATAGGGAATACACACAGAGAACAATAACAAGAGAAAACAAATGCTAAGAGATGATTGGAGTTTGCTAAGAAATTAGAAGAGGAGATGGTTGTTCCTGGCCCAGGGGATCAGGAAATGCTTCATGGAGAAAGCATTGCTGTCATGGGTCTGGTAGGTGACTATTAGAGAAAGATTGGAAGCATAACTGGAGGTGGAGGGGATGCAATAACAAAGGCATGGGGTATTTAAGTAAACGTATTTGAGGAATGTTTGAGTACCACTTGCAAAAGATCAAGGACTATCTTTAATTGGGAAAATCCTTTTTATAAAGCACCTGTAGCCAAGCACACATTGAAAAACATTCAATGATGAAGAGTAACTTGATTTACAGATATAGTATTTTCCTGGAGGAAGGTTCTAAATGAATTAAAAACAGGCAAGATAACAAGTGTGAAGATTATTAAAATAAAAACTGACCTCCATTTCTGGCCTCAGAGACCTGAGATAACTTTTAAGGTCCCCCCGTGTCATCAGTTCCATGATGACCAGTGTTGGCTGGCCCTGGGACACCACGCCCAACAAACGCACCTGGAAGGAACCAAAAAGAGAAGGACTCAGAGAGTGAGGGTTTCCCATGTTGTTTGTTCCCCTGCCCTGATTGCCGTGCATGTGCTATGGGGCCTGGGTAGAGCACAGCTTGGGAAGGACACAGGGGCTCCATTGGCCATGGCCTGCATCACTTCAAAATACAGATGTCTATGACAACATTGAGGGGATAGGAAAACTATATGCCAAGCCTGCAAGCTGACTAGGGGCAGTGTTTTCTCTGTGTCAGACTCTGTCTTAACAAGAACCTTCTCTTACCACATGATGACAATTGAACTCCTTCATCACTGAAGCCTCGTTGAGAAATTCAATCCTTTCCCGCATGCTTGCAGCCTCATTTACTGTTTTAATGGCCACCCTAGTTTCAGGCTCATCTTTAACTACACCTTTGGCAACTCCTTCATACACCATTCCAAACGACCCCTGCCCAAGCTCTCGACTCATGGTGATCTTCTCTCGAGCTACTTCCCACTCATCCGGAACGTACACTGGAGAAGAAAAAAATAGAATTGGAAATAATTATGGAAACAAGTCCCTAGACACACGAGCCCTGGGGGAAACTCTGGGCCAAAGGATATGAGATGCAATTTTCTAAAACACGCAAAGGAAAATATCAGAAGACAATGACATGGCTTACTCTAAAATTTCCTTTCATGTTTTGGATTTGAAAAGACAACTATACTGTCAAATAATGACAATTCAAATATTTCCTAGATAATTCAGGGACAATAACATACAAGAACCAGAAAGAAGCACAGAAGTCTAGGACAGAATACAAGCAATAGTCCTATCACTCCCCTCATCACTTAAACCGTAACTTACGAAAAGCAAATTAACCATAGGATGAAATGGTCAAGCAGGATTCTCAAAAGTTTGGGATTTTATCTATTTTCATCAATAGATTAAAATCCAAGTCAGAAAAGAGGGGAGAAAGAGAAAGAAGGAAGTGTCTATTCTAGATTGGGGAAATGGTCTGAGGTGTGTGTGTGTGTGTGTGTGTGTGTGTGTGTGTGGGGAATGGGGCATGTGAACTCCTACTTTCTGAGTGAATCCAAAACAGGTGTTAGGTTCCTCAGGAAAGACTCCAGACCTGAGCTTCCAATATGGTAGCCACTTGCTACACATGGCTATTGAGCACTTGAAATATGGCTAGTTCATTTTGAGATGTGCTGTAAGTATATACAGAGTGGACTTCAAGAACACATGCAGAATGTAACATACTTCAATAATTTATATATTAGTTACAGTTATGATATTTTGATATGCTGGGTTGAATAAAAGATATTTGTTATTAAATTTATCTTACCTGTTTCTTTTCACTTTTTTCTAAATATGGCTACAAGAAAATTTAGTTACATATGTAACTGGCATTATATTTCTACAGGGTAGCAGTGGTCTAGTCTAGACAAAGGGTCTTCCAGTCTTGCTAAAGACCACTGGGCCTTTAATGAACTCAACTGCGCTGATAGCCCTGAAGGGAGTCTTTGGCCAGAGTGGAACACTGATGAGCAGGGGAGTCTCCCCAGCACTATGGCCTGGGTCTGTGGAATCAGGGACCTCCCATTATTGGGGTGAGGGGCCAGGCAGGGACATGGTAATGAGTGAACCTGAATATGATTTCCACTCCAGGCTATGCTTCTGGTTAGATTCAGTCTGGCTTGAGAAAATAAATAAATGAATGCTTTTAGGCAGGTACAAAGGAAGGACAGGGGGAGGGGGAGGGGAGGACAAAAGAAAATGAAACAGAGGATCCATCCAATGGGTAGGGTGAAAAATAAAATCAACCTATTCAATAAGATCAAGATGGGGGGAATTACAGTTATAACCAAATTCTTCTAATTCTGGGAAAGGAGAACACTCCAGCTCTAGTGTACAGTGACTGGGGAAGGTAGGAGGGTCCTGGCTCAGAAATACATTCAGACTGGGAACATGGGATCACACCCATGTTTGCATTTTTGCTTTCAGATGTTATCCATGGGGCTGTTGCTGAATGGGAGAAAAGCAGTGACTGACAACTGCACTGCTAACATCAGCACATTCCCATGTATTTACATTTAAGTAAAGTTTTAAAGGACTTCACAATTTATAAGGGAAAGATGTTTATAAATCAGGGCAAGAAGCCATCACCATTTTACACCTCTGAGGAGTGTCCAATATGGACTGTATTCATCAATCTCAATTTTTCTTTCATGTACATTTTGATTTCATAGTACATACGTATTTAGAATTTTCACAAATAAAACTCTAACCCTCCATATGGCTTAGAAGGCTTGCATCCCGAAAAAAGGTCAATACTTACTTACAAGAATAAGTCTACAAGACAACCCAATAGATAAACTATTCATAAGAGCCCTCAGAAAGCATAAAAAGACAGTCTATATCCACTTATCTCTGAAAATTCAGGCTTGTTTTAATCAGTATTAACTACGTAGTATGCCATAAAACATGAAGTTAAAACCAATCAAATCCATTCCTTGGGTGATCTCTGAAGTTAATAATCTCAATCCTTTTCTCTACATTCAACCCAACAACTCTGACTTTTACCAGAAGACATAAGATCCACCAGGCAGTCTAGGTTTATGTGCACAATGTTATCAGCACTTTCCTGTAGGGGATTTTCAGCATATACTCTAGAGAATGGTGACATGCAGATTAACTTTTAGAGAAATAAGTTTTTTAAGTACTTTTGAACTGCAATGTCATTTTGTCACTTCTTGAGGAAACTGGCTATATGGTGCTTGTCAAAAGGCTGAATAAATTAAGTTCAAATGAGGTGACAACATTCCCACTTGTTGGCATGGGTGACAATAAATTTCTTTTTTGATTTTTTAAAGCAACAGCAAAATATTTTATAAAAGCAGCTCTGGAATACACATTTGAGTTCAAATCATCATTAGACAAGCTGATTTTATTATACTAATATTTTCCCTAAACTTCCTGGCCACCACCCATCTGTCAGTATGTTGTACTGTGGTGGCTTGCATGTTGCTGTGAGGCTGGAGGCTATGCTGCCGGTATTTCAAATACCAACAGGGTCACCCATGGTGGACAGGTTTCAGCAGAGCTTCCAGACTAAGACACTTGGAGGAAGGAAGGGGCCATCTAATTCTAAAAGAATTGGCCAGTGAAAAACCCTATGAATAGCAGGGAAACACTGTCTGATATACTATTGGAAAACATTATGAATAGCTCTGAAAAACTGTTCACTATAGTGCCAGAAGATGAGCCCCTCAGCTTGAAAGGCACTCAAAATACGAACGGGGAAGAGTTGCCTCCTAGGAGTAGAGTCGATCTTAATGATGTGGATGGAATAAAGCTTTCAGAACCTCCATTTGCTAATGTGACATGACTCAAAATGGGAAGAAACAGCTGCAAACATCCATTAATAATTGGAAACTGGAACGTATGAAGTATGTTGTTGTTGTTGTTATGTGCCGTCAAGTCAGACCTGGCTCATAGCGACCCCTCCTTGGGTTTCCGAGGCGATATCACTACGGAAGTAGATTGCCCAACCTTCCTTCCGAGGAGTGGCTGGTGGGTTTGAACT